GGTCGTTGCAAAACCGAACAAAATACATCAGAGAAGCATCACTAAAATAGAATGAGAAGATTCTACAGAAAACAAGCAAATAAAGAATATTACTTTTCAAGCTTACAATACAGAAAAGTTTTAACATGCTATACCTGCTTTACAGCTTAGGCTCACCATAACTACAGCTGAAGAAATTACTTCATAATTAAAGTCTTTTTCTGCCCTCTGCTGGCAATCACAAACTTTCTTTCGAGTCCTTCTGGACCCCTGGTGCCTATCTTACCAGCAAGCTTTGTCTTCAAATTGTTTTGTCTGCCTGAACTACCTACAGCATTTTGCTAGTTTCACAAAATACTCAGTGGCTAAATTGTCAAACATGTTAATAACATATAGCTCTTTTTTCCCCTCAAAACTTATGTTTCCTTCTTCTGTCAAAAATAAATAAATGAACAAGCTAAATAAGCAAAAGCAGCAGTGAAATACCCACAACCAGAGCTTTTATTAGCATGAACAGGCATAATGTTGTTTTCAGCTAATATATTTCATGCTGGCTGACTGTTTTGCACTCAGCTCTCAGTTATCCTCAAATATTGCATTAGTAAAATCTTTGATTTTCATAAATTAGATGATAAATGGATACTGTTTGAATCCACGAGGTAATAAATAGTTTCACTTATTACTTTTCACCCCAGTTCTCTCTGTAAGAGTATTTTACTCTGTAGGCAGTTAGAAAAACATCATACAGATTTACAGTTTAAAGAGAGGACTCTAAATACTCCAACATGGAAAAACTGGCAACCGTTGCACTTATGCAAATTATATGCAAATTAAACACCCCCCAAAGACTTAGGTAAAATAAGCGGGGGCAAGATAAGGTATTCTACCTCCCTCTACCTCCCCCAGTAACACTGTTCACCTACTTTGCATAAGCTTTTTCCAATAGTGGAAGCCAAAACAAATCTTCCGTCTGACACTGGGAAAAGCAGAGTTTACCACCCAGGCAAGGCAAGCGATCGTCAATGGTTACTTCCACCCAGTGGCCAAACCGCCAGATCCGACAAGTGAAACAGCCTTGATAGGATTCATCTGTCCAGCTGGGCTGACCCGGAGGGATTACCTGCAGAGAAAGATGCCAAGGTTAATGCAAATAGTGATTTTTTTTTTGAAGGAAGTCAACACTTTAAAATGTACTAAATGTTTTGAACAGATCATAGGAAAAAGATACCACAACAGAAGCAGTAAAAGTTGAACATAAGAAAATTTAGATTCAAATGGATGCTACGGATTCAAGAAGAACATGCAAATATAAACCTGATGAAGAAAACTTCTGAAATGCAAAACAAGAAACTTCTCTTTACCTTATTTAGTAGGTATTTACTCTTTTGCAACGCTATACAGGCACACAGGAACCAACAGTCTCCCAAAATCCCTTGTTTCACTTGCACATCCTGTGGCTTGTCTGAAAATAACCGAGGAGTAGAACAGATTTCCTAAAACGAGAAAAAGCGGGGGCCTTAAAGCTGAATCCTGCAGGACACTATAAGAAAGGCTGTTTCAGGGAACAGGAAAGCTCCAGAGACTCTTCACAAAAGAGGGGAGCTTTTACCTCTAGAACATTTCTCCTTTAGGCACCGGCTAAGACAACAATAACAAAATTACTGCTTTACTGCTATTTAGCAGTTTCTTTATGAGAGGTGAGTCTAGTTCCCTGAGACTTTAGTACACAGATACCACTATCAAGAGCAACCTCAACAGAGAAGCCGGTAAGTAAAACACAACATAATTAATCGGCTTCTTGTTAAGAGATTTTGACAGTGACAAAATTGAGGTCATTCACATACCATTGCATACCACAAGCTAAAAAAAAATTCAAAATTCCCATAAGAGAACAGTTTCTAGGACGTGTGAAAAAAATAGATTACTTGATTAGATAGATTACTTAATATAAACTTAAACTAAAACTTGAAATAGATTACTTAATCTACTTGAAAGATGATTTCAAATGCAAAGTCCTGAACCATATACACCTGCAAATACCACAAGAGATGAAGATTAACTGATCGGTCCTCAACAGTGGTCAAGGTGAAAGGTAGAAAAGCAGAAAGTTATACCCTGAGCTCTGTGAAATCATATTTGTTAATTCCATTTGGCCAAATAAAAAAGCTTGGAAAAAAAAATCTCTTAGAAGTTCAATTATGAGATCGACACCAAGACCTGAAAAATTAGCTTGTTTTTATCTTCAGTAGTTCTGTCATTTATTGTTCCATCAATCAATACACGTCTGCCAGTGCCTCCATAATTGTTCTACAGCAACATTCTTCTAACAACCTTTAAAATTCAACTATCTGCTTTCAAGGCAGTTATGCAATACACAGAAAAAGTAGGGAGTTGCATAATACTCTTTTAAGTTTTTATGTACATAATTTCATTATGAAATGCATTTCTCATAAAACATCTGAATTGTTATTATAGTCCTGGGATTCAAAAGTTCCACATCAAAATTTAAAATGAACTTACAAGCAAGTACACAGTCTTAAATGTAACTTACATTGTTAACACTGATGTGCACTGCTTTTATCATCTTCACATTTCAAAATAAAAAACAGTCAAAAGCAATGATTTAATACTACCCACCATGTGCTACCTTTAGGTCCAGATCTGCTAAACATCTCAGGTTTTCATATTTTAAAACTCACCTGTGGTCTCAACCATGAGATCTCGCCTCTGAATTGTGCAAGTGGGGTACAATAGTTAAAATACACAGAGGCATCACTGGCTGGAAACGTGGGGTCTGTGTAGAGATCTCTTTTCACAATTAATTGCTTTTTCTCTCCCAGCATTTTCAAAATAATCCCAAGCACCCCTGCTGGCTATTTCCAAGGCTTCATATTTTCGAGCTCCAACCTACAACATGAACGTGTGTTAATCAGGAATTGCAACGGAGAAACAAATAAACAAGGGGGAAAGGTTTACAGGAGACAGAAAGCCCCTCACTTCTTGCAGATGGAGCCTTGAACCACGCCATTGCCCGCTTCTTTCAGCATCAGAAATCCCCCGCTCTGCTAGAAAAGAAAAGGGTCTCAGGGGCTCCAGAGGTGGCTCGCGGGGACCTTCCCTCTGCAGCGCCCGAGGCACCCGGTGACCGACTGTGACTTGA